TCGGACTATCCGGAGATTCGAATTTTCTAAGATATCTGAATCTGAGATTCAAATAGTAAAAGTCGAATTCAAATCCGGTTCTCAGATTCGGTTCCGGATTCGTAGCAAACTTATAGCAAATTCAGTTGGATGCATTAGTGCGGACTGAGTGTATATTAGTCATTATATTATACACTTATTTAATCTGAGTGTAAAAGTGAAATACAAATATTTCTTATTAGCCTTGTACATCTTTGTTATTACTATTTTAAGATTGTGAGTCTATTCTAAACATTTATATTTATAAACAATATTAAATCTCATTGGACGTACGAGTTTCTCGTATATATGAGAAACACAACCTATAGAAACAAATGCCTTAAACGGTCTAGGTGAATTTTAAATGCTTATATAATTCTGTGTGAATCTATATTTATATTTTTTAATTTTATTTTGCTTCAATTATATATGTGAATCAAAATTCAATTTTTATTTAAAAAGTAAATTACGTTAAAATTCATTAAAAATATATCGATGTTTTCTTTCTTTCTGAACATGGACCTAAATCAGATCCGTTATCTGAATTTAGATCCGGATCCAAATTCAAATCTGCAGATCTTAATAATTCGAATATCCAGATTATCCGAATAATGGTTTTGAGTTCTCGGATCGATTTTGGATATTCGAATATCTATAGATATCCGAATACTTAGAAGCCCAGTGTAGAGATGCTATTTCATTTGCGTTTGTCATAAATGTGTGCAGGACAAAAAACGTCCTCGGATTTCTCTATTCTGTATATTATGTATATATATATATAATATACAGAATAGAGAAATCCGAGGATCCATAGTTAGACAAACCTATAGGAAAATTTCCCATAAGAATTTGCAGTAGGGCAACGTTATTTTGATTTTAAACAAAACTTAAAACTCTCTTCGTCTTTGTCTCTTTTTCACTTTAAAACGAAACAGAGAGTTTTAAGTCTTGCTTAAAGTCAAAGTAACATTGGTACAACCGGATCTTCCCAGTGAGAAATCAACAATGAAATTAACGTCGATTTCGATTCCATTGTTTCCATTGATTCATTTTTTACTGGACTAAAGCTATTTGCGTCCTTTTCCCCTCCAGGAACTCGACAACTATAACTTGGCGAATGAACAGATTTTCCCCCTCTAGAAATTTTATGGAATTTTCTTTGTCCTAAACGAATTTGTATAGCGTAATTTCAGTTTCAAATGAGATCTCCACGTGCGACGTTCAACTTTCTTCGACGTGCGAAATTTATTTTTTTGAAACTCTTGCTTTTCTATTAATTATTTACGAATGATTAATAGAACATGAAACAAATGGAGGAATTATCAGCAAATAAATTTGTATGGTGAGCTACTTCAATGATTTATTTTCAGTGATGCATTTTGATACGAGATTCTTAAGTTTCGTCTCGAAATAATATTTTTGAGATAATTACTTTGGTGAAAATTTTTCTCAGAATTTTTTAGAATTTTTATATAATTTTTCAGAATTTCTCTATAATTTTATAATTTTCTTACATTTTTTATACGAATTGGAACATTTCTCAGAAAATCTACATCTTTTCTCAAAATTTATCATGTGTGTTAATTATGAAATATCGTAAAATTTTTAAGATTTTTTGTAAGTATAATTTTTGATAAAATGTTATAAAATCTAAAAAATTTTAAAATGTTTCAAAAATTATGGCATGAGAAATTTCAGAATATTTCAGAATTCATTTGTACGAAAAATTCTGAGAGAAGATGTAAACTTTCCGAATATTTCTGAGTATTTCTGAAAAATATTACA